CTGAGCAGTGGTGGAAAATGGTTGTTAGGTAGCAGAGGAGAGGCAGAGAATATTCTTTGTTGGATCTTATTGTAATCAGGCAAGTTATTGTGGTGGCCTAGATAAAGTAACGGCCCCAGAGCTAGAAAGAAGTAGATTGATAAAAGGAAGGGCATGCTGGTCCCTACGTAGAAGAATTAACAAAACTTGATGGATAGGATTTGGAGGTAGCAGGATGATGAGGTCAAAGGACATATCAAGGATGTCTTCTACATCTTTGACTTGAACCACTGGATAGATGGAGTCCCAATGTCCTAGAGGGGGAACATGAGAGGAGGAGCCGATTTGGAAAGGATATCCCAGTGTTCAGTTCTGGGCATGTTGAATCTATAGGGGAGAATGTGTTTATGAGGTGGGAGAGTATAGGGACTAGCGTGACCTTCCTTGAGCTCTGTTAACTGGCTTATGGTCTGTGTTCAAAGTAGAAGACAGAAACTGCTTCCCACGCCATACAGATTGTACAGGATTCCAGTTCACAGATAAGTTGCTGTAATTGATAATGTCTCTGGCCTCTGTGACCTCTCATACAGTATAACGCTTTAAAAATTTCTGTATGTTTGATGGTCAGGATATTGACAATATTCATATTCATTTATGAAATGCTTGCTTATTGTGATCTATTTTCCTTGGTGTTTCTAGAACTGTGCCTACCTGGCCTACAAGGTCAAGTTACAGATTTGATCTTTACATAGACCTGTTGGATTTTCTAAATTGCCTTGTGACAGGTTACATTCTTCACTTTGCATGACCGACTTGATAACTTATTAGGAAGGAAACTGGATTATAGAGTTGTTATGAAATAGGACTTATTTATCTTTGCTACTTAAAACTCAAAACATATGTTCTACCTGCACTAGTACACTAGTGGCCTTTGTTTATGAAAGTGGAGCTCAAAAGATTTTGTGCATTTCTCACATTGGCTATGGTTATATCTTCCTTTGCATGTAGTATGCATTTCTTGGGAAATCAAACCACATCATTTTATTTATCTTTTGATTTCCTTAAGCCAATATTTTTTTTCTTTAACAAATAGAAATGGCCATTTAAGGACTGAGATTATAAGTGTTTTGTTTTTTGCTGTGCCTGGGATGCATTTGGCTGATAAATATTTATTAAATTGATGGATGAAAGAAGGAATGGGTGAATCATTCTGTGAGAAAGGATAATTTCAGAAACCAAGACATCAGGAAGATTGTATTTTTACTGTAAGATTATGTCCCTGAAGCCTACTGAGAAATCAAGGAAAAAAGATATAAATTTAAGAATCTAGCCGGGCTCGGTGGCTCAGCCTGTAATCCCGCGCCTTTGGGAGGCTGAGGTGAGTAGATTGCCTGAGCCTGCAGGTTCGAGACCCGCCTGGGCAGCGAGACCTCATCGCTACAATAAATAAAAAAACCAGCCAGGCGTGGTAGCGCATGCCTGTAATTCCGGCTACTTGGAAGGCTGAGGCGGAAGGATCATCGGAGCCCAGCAGGTCGAGGCTGCGGTGGCCGGAAGCGGCCACTGCACTCCAGTCTGGGTGACAGAGTGAGACTCCAACTCAAAACAAACAAACAAGCAAAAAATCTACTTGATAAAACAAATGATAAAAATCATGAGAATGGGAGACCTTGAGTGTGTGTGGGAGAGAGTAAGGATAGAGGCAAAGTGAACAACAGAGGAAGGGGGATTGGAAGGAGGAGTGAAGCCTCAGGAGAGCACCATATCTCATGGAAGCAGGAACAGTCAACAGCAAGGATCTGGGATGTAGGAAGGGATGCAAATGGAAAGAGATCTTTGGATTTGGCCTGAAGTAACGAAAGCGTAGTAAGAGCCTGGATGCACATTGTGAACTAAGATGGGGAATTCTTTCCTTTCGTTTCTACTCGTCACTAGTGATTTCAATTAAGAGGAAACTATTTTTTAAGCAAAGATGTAGTTTATATTTTCTGCTACATGTAGCCCAGCATCATAGGACACTGCACTGATATTGAAGAGTTTATCTTGTGGTTTCTTGTAAGCTGATTATTTGATAATCAGTGATGAAGGCCATTTTTAGTCATTGTTCCTATTACAGGTAATGATGTTTGATATAGTATATAACATACATATTTATACATATGTGTATAATCAGGGAATTGCAAAAAAGTGACAGTAGGGAAATTGAAAATTGAGTTCCACTGTGAAAAATATAGGCCACTTCTCCATATTATTTGGGAGCATTTCACTTGAAATTTTATTAAATTCTTTAGTTCATAGAATGCTACAGAGCTACAATAACAGCTCCATGGCAATAAAGAAACTTGGGTTGTGCTAATAATGGGGTTATGTGTATATGTGTGTTCCCTTATGTGCATATGGCTATTTAGATATGTACATGTGTATATATACACACACATATATCATATTTTTTTCTGGGCATTGCTTTGGTGTGATGTTGATAATCTATATGGGGGATAGGAAGTACATTTGAGCCTTTTAGGATGCTACCATTTGTAAAGGAATTAATTTTCACGTGAGAATACCTTATAGAAATGAAAATAGTAGCTGCCATTTATTCAAAACCTCTTTTGTTCCAAGTATATTACAGTAATCCTGGGGATGTGGCAGTACCATTCCTAATTTGAAGTGAAGATTGAAGTTCAGAAAGTTTAAGTGATTTGCCCTGGGTCACAGAGCTAGTAGGTAGGAGAATCCTGTTCTTTTGTTGTCTGAAGCCCATGCATCATGCAGTATGTAGTCCCAGTTAGAATCATTAGGGTATCAGAGTGAGTTACCTGTCTGGCTGGGAGCCAAGAAATCTCCATAGAGAAAACAGAAACCATTAGATGAGAACTTGTTTTCAATATCCTGTCCCCTCATCTGCCTATTTAACCATATCTACACCTGATTTTTTTTTCTTTCTGTTAAGAGGAAAAGACTTTCCCCTCCAAGCACATGATTCTTTTTATTTAGCTGTTGCATCTTTTAGTCAATGTCTCTGTCTGCCTCTCATTCATTACTAGCTTCTTCCCATGAGTGTAAGCTACTCTCTCCATGTATTAGTTTGTTTAGCATGCTATAAAGAAATATCGGAGGCTGGGTAATGTATAAAGAAAAGAGATGACTGGCACGGTGCCTCACAGCTGTAATCCCAGTGCTTTGGGAGGCCAAAGCAAGAGAATCCAGCAATCTAGCCAGGAGTTTGAGACCAGGTTGGGCAACATAGCAAGATCCTGTCTCTACAAAAAAAAAAAAAAAAAAAAAAGCTAGGCATGGTGGTGTGTGCTTATAGTTCTAGCCACTTGGAAGTCTTGGGTGGGAGGATTGTTTGAGCCCAGGAATTCGAGGTTGCAGTTGAACTTTGATCACACCACTGAACTTCAGCCTGGGTGACAGAGAGAGAGACTCTATCTCTGGGGGAGCAGGGAGAGAAGAAAGGCAAGAGATGTATTTGGCTCACAGGTCTTTTTCCTGGCTGGAAGGTTCAAGGGCATCTGGTGAGGGCCTCAGGCTGCTTACACTCGTGATGGAAGGTGAAGGGGAACCAGCGGTTGCAGAGACCACATAGCCAGAGAAGCGAGAGAGATGGGAGGGAGGGTCTGGGCTCTTTTAACAACCAGCACTTTGGGGAACTAATATGAGTGAGAACTCATTCACCTCAGCTGTATCTATTCATGAGGGCTCTATCCCCGTGTCCCCAACACCTCCCATTAAGAGTCATTTTCAACACCGGGGATCAGATTTCATCATGAGGTTTGGAGGGACAAACACCTAAACTGTAGCACTCCCCAAGGCAGATGCCTTCTGTATTAGTAATTACTGCATAACAAACCACTTCAGAACTTGGTGAAGTAAACCAAGTGTCTTTAATTTAGCCCATTGGTTAGTAGGTCAACAAATTAGGCTGTGCTCAGCTGGACTCACTTATACATCTGTGGTCAGCTAGACAACTTTGCTTCTTGGGTGGTATCTGCCGAGTGGCCAGAACCATTTAGGGTGACTGGAGTCTGGGTCTTTCTTTCATCATCCAGCAATCTAGCCCAGACTTGTCCATGTGGCTACTTGAGAGGGTTTTAAAGAGAGAAGCTTGCAAATCACCTTGAGTCTGGGCTCAGAGTTCATGTATTATCCCTTCTTCTGCATCATCAGCCAAAGCACTTTACAATGCCAGCCCAGTTCGGGGTGGGGGCGGGGAGGTGGAGAAGTAGACGGTTGAGTTATGGAATTCCTCCTTGACACTAACTTCAGTCTACCCTTTAAGACCATAGTCATATCACCAACTCAGCTGAATCGTGTGCTCTGGATTCCCTCTCACTATGTTTAGAACATTGTGTGGGAGTTGTTGGTTTACTTCTAAGTGGAAAGTGAGCTTCTTAAAAACAATCACTATTTCAAACCAAGATTTGGCACATATTAGGTAACTTGAAAAGCTGCAGTGGAAATAAAACTTTCAGGCCATTGATGTCTGGCAATCTGTAAATTGGGATAGACGCTAATGTATGCTTGTGTCTTAAAACTTGCTTGCTGATGTTAAAATTTGCTGTACACTCCAGCCTGGGTGACAGAGCTTATATGTATCAAATCAAATATTTCTAATATATCAAAATAAAATATTATGAAAACTGGAGGGGGTAAAGATTCCTGGCTAGAATTCTGAGTAAAAATCATTATTTAATACTTAACTATCTTTGTAGGTTTCGATAGTTACAAATTTGTTTTTAAGGAAGACAAGTTATAGCACCATGACATATTTGTCAGAGAAAACATACTTGTTCATTAACTGGTTCACTGGAATTTGGGATAAAATTTCTATCGTAGAATATGAAATGAAGAATGTCAGCCAGCATCCTAGATGTTACCCTGGAAGACACTGAACATAAGTATTTCTGTTAGAATGGAAACTAGTGTGTATTTCATGGGAAGTTCATCTTTAAGTGAATGTGTCTTTTCTGTGTCCTAACTCTTAATTGATGGGATTTCACGTATATTTTATGTTTTAGGTTCAGCTGTCTGAATACCTTTTCAGATAACTAAAACTTGACCACATTGTCCCATCACTGTTTTCCTGGTATCTAACCATGCAGAGGAGGTCAAGAGGGATTAATATTGGACTTCTTCTGCTCCTTTCCCAAATCTTCCATGTTGGGATCAACAATATTCCACCTGTCACCCTAGCAACTTTGGCTCTCAACATCTGGTTCTTCTTGAATCCTCTGAAGCCGTTGATTAACTCCTGCCTTAGCGTGGAGAAGTGTTACCAGCAAAGAGACTGGCAGCGTTTACTGCTTTCTCCTCTTCACCATGCTGATGATTGGCATTTGTATTTCAATATGGCATCCATGCTCTGGAAAGGAATAAATCTGGAAAGAAGACTGGGAAGTAGATGGTTTGCCTACATTATCTCCACATTTTCCCTACTCACTGGAGTGGTGTACCTGCTCTTGCAGTTTGCTGTTGCCGAATTCATGGATGAACCTGACTTCAGAAGGAGCTGTGCTGTAGGTTTCTCAGGTAAGGCAGACTAATTTCTGAGGCAGCATGCATAAAACCAGTGAGGGAAGTGTGAATGCTATCATTTTATGAAGTGTTCCCAGTAGGTGAGGGGACTAAATTCTGAGTGACTAAGGTCTGCTGGGGTGTGTGTTGAAAAGGAGACTGATTAGAGCCTAGCAGAAACTACTTTTTTGCTATTCCATGTTATGCCACATCATCCACTCTTGGACAGTCTGGACTAGGTCCTGCTAGTATATGGTTTTGTAGGAGATGTAGTGCTGGAAACAAACACCAGCACTGTCATGATAGGGCCACAGAGCAACCCACAGGTGTGTTTGTAATAGGGAGTTCTCAAAAAAGATGAATGTGCCTGTGGAACAGATTCACTGTGCACTGGTTACTAACTCGTCTGCATGTGGTGAGACAGAACACACTCAACGGCAACTAGTTATGTGAAGCAGATTTATTACAGGTAGGCAGTAAGGGACAATAGGAGCCTAGGATTCATTGTGAGTTCGTTCTTCAAGGCTCAGAAAGCCGCCAGGGTAGAAGGAATCTTGACTGTGCATGCCCTCCTGGCACTGCAGGATGAGGGTCCCCTTTTGGCAGCCAGTTACAAACCTGAGGATCACCTGAATCATAGGACAAAGTGATTTTTTGAAGGACATCTGTTGTAGGAGTGGACTAAGCTGTTGCAGGCAGCTCTCTCTTTGTATCAGGTTGTTGCATTTCTAGCACATTCCACAGCTATTCTTGAGAAATACACCTGAGAAGAGGGGAGAACTGGTAGGTCCAAGGCCACCTGAAGAACTGACTTGCACATACCCCTCAATAACTTCATTAAAATTAATATGCCACACCCTGCCATGGCATGCTCGCCACGTTTGAGAAACCAGGATAGTTTACTCTGCATAACTCATCCTGTTGAACTCATGCAGCAGATCCTGAGGGAGATGGCATTGCTTGATTTTATGGATGAGAAAGCTTAGACGCAGAGATGCATGATTGCTAGCTCAAGGTTACACAGCTCCTAAATAGTAGAGCTGGGATTTGAACCCAGCATGACATTAACTATGATACATTGTCTCTTACCTTTCCTCCTCACTGGTTGTTTTTTTTCATTTATTTTATTTTATTTTATTTATTTTTTTTGAGTTGGAGTCTCACTCTGTCGCACAGACTGGAGTGCAGTGGCCACTCCCGGCCACCACAGCCTCGACCTGCTGGGCTCCGGTGATCCTTCCGCCTCAGCCTTCCGAGTAGCCAGAATTACAGGCGCGCGCTACCACGCCCAGCTGATTTTTTTGATTTATCATAGAGATGAGGTTTCACCTGCCCAGGCGGGTCTCGAACCGCGCGAGCTCAGGCAATCCACTCACCTCAGCCTCCCAAAGGCGTGGGAGTACAGGCTGAGCCATAGTTGTTTTTTTTAAATAGATATTTCATAGGATTGAAATTCCCATCAGGATTTAAATGAGATGTTCTAAATATTAGAATTTGAAAGGGAAGAGGCAAATGATCCGAAACAAGGAAATCTAATCCTTCCCTCTGATTCCCCTGCCATCCTTCCCCTTCCTTCCACGATGCATTCTTATGCATCAAATTGTGGGAGAAGAAAGAATATCTATCTGCCCTGCCTTCCATGTATATTTCCTTAGATGTTAGAAAAGACATGCATATTACTGGTATTTTTTGTTGAATTGAAATTCACATGCATAAAATTAACTATTTTAAAGTGTGCCATTCAGTGGCATTTAGTACCATTGCTAGTATGGTATTTCTATTTTATGTGTTACATACTTAGTAGCATACAAAGTCAGTATGAACTTCCATGTTAAGATCGTCAAAGAAATGATTGCCTGTAACGTTGTCTTTTTACTGAATGCTGGGTTATAAGGAAGAGAATATACTTTAAAGTAAAAAGTTGGATGTGACTAAATAATCATTTTTACTTTAATTAGTTTTCTTTGTAAATGTTGACTCTCCACATTTTGATGGTTGATATTTACATGCTCTTTATTCTCTTTTAGGAGTTTTATTTGCCTTGAAAGTTCTTAACAACTATTACTGCCCTGGAGGCTTTGTCAATGTTTTGGGCTTTCCTGTACCCAACAGATTTGCTTGTTGGGCTGAACTTGTGGCTATTCATTTATTTTCTCCAGGGTAAGTGTTTATTTACTCTTACAGAATAAAAATGAAGAACCTGATGTTTCGTGGAGAAAAATATTGCAATAATAATAAAATAACCAATTGTATTTTTTACAGTGATGTTTATTCTTTAACTATAGGACAGAATTGAGCTTAATGGTTATATATTTTTATTTTATTTTAAAGATGTAGGGTGAAATTCAGGATTGATATTGATATCGATATTGACCATTGATACAAATGGTCATTCTACAGGTAAAGTCTGGGCCCATTTTGGTCTCCTCTTCATCTGGTTTGAGATCAAGTAATCAAGTTACACTTACTGATTAAGCATGCCCCCGCCCGCCCCC